GGAGAAATCGAATTTGCCGATCGGTTTGCCCATCAACCCTCCAGGCCTCCTAAATGCGAATTCATTTCGAGTTAATGGCTGGGAATGCGCTTCCGTCTAATTGCCCATGAACCGATCAGATATGCGCCACGATCTCTGAACGCAACCGAACCGCAGCGGTTTTCGATTAAGAAATATCCAGAATACTGTATAGAGAACGGTCCCAAGAATGATCTCCAAAAGCAATACCGCATACGCTCAGATTCACCGCGGAATTACGCTTCTTCGGGATAATTTCTCGAATTCGCGAATGCGCGCTCGTAATCGTTAACAAATTTGCTTCAACTATCCGATATATTTAAAGCTGGATTTTACGAATTTACATGTCTCACGTGTCACATAATATAATTCCAGAATATCGCGTCGTTTTATTTACATTACATTACGTTACATCGCATGAAAGTTGTCCTATTAATATCACGGATTTTATTGTTTGATAATTAATTAATGGTGTCGCTACGACACCATGTCTCCTCGAAAAGAGTGCAGAAACGTTTCGGATTCGCCATGCTCTTAATGCAAATTCATTTTGAGTTAATGGACCGTGTACACGATGGCCAATTGGCCGTGACCATTCAGGATGCACATTTCCGCTTTTACGTACAGCTTTTATGCCGTCGATCTTTCCGGAGCAACGACACGAAATTCGAAAAGTCAGACTGCACTTACAGTTGTACAATGCAATCGGCTTACTCGGAGACACATTTGGTCTCTTGTCCCAGTCAGTAATCCGTTAAATCGTCAGTAGCCACTTCCCTAATGTGTGCTAACGCTTGCTTATATCTCTCTCTCAGCAAGCTTTCCTTAAAAAATACTTGGCACCTTCCAAAGAAGCAAAGAAGAGTGTGCAAAATGGCAGAATTTCTCATTAATATGCGCATATAAAATCTTAACAAACTAAAAAAATACTGATTTTAATAGTCTATTTTTATTCAAGTTGAATAAACGAAAAGTTACAATTGTAAAAGAAAGAAAAGTGCTTCTTAAAAATTTAATGATATTACGGAAATTATTAATTCAATTAATATTTTATTTCTTATAAATTATATAGGTAAGAGTACAATATAAAAAATATTAATTATCACTGCAAAGAACACTAGCGAAATGTTAACGCACTATACACATTCGGACTTCTTGGAGTAATAACTTATATTACAAAATAACCAGTGTATTGATAAGGAAATAATTAAAGTTTCAATTATATAAATAATTAATATTTATTTATTAAATATAATTGAAAATTAGGGAGATAAAAAAATCATCTCATCGTAAATGAATACAGGCACTTCGTGCAGATATATTCTATATTTTTTGATAATAACAACATATAATTGCTTTAAATGACGTTAAATTACCATAAACCCGTCCCACTAAAATATATCGCTATAACGACATACGATAATGAAACGTTTTACACGCCCGTTATTATAGCACGTGAGGCTCATATCGTGAACCATGCGGAGCACGATGACGTTTTATGTGGCGCGCGGCGAAATGCAGATTTCCGGTAACGAGGAAATTCCGGAACTCCGTTAACAAAGTAAACGAAGTTGTGAAAAATAACGGTACTCCGCCCAGTCCAGGTAAGTAACCCAGGCGAAGAGAAACGAGGAGCAACTTAATCAACCGGCGCGAGTGTATTAAGGACGGCGGTAAAGAATCATGCGCTGTCGGAGAAACACGAAACTAAGAGTGAGAGAACTGTTGAGTGAGTGTACTGTTAAATTTTTTACAAATCCCATTTGCATGCGTAACGTGGAGAGCGACACATTAGAATGGCTCTTTTTTTTTTACATCTTATTATTTTTCTTCACGCGAGTATACATGTTCACATTTGTACTTATAATCTAATCACTTAAAAACGAATAATAAGTTACGTATGCTATGGTATATAGTGAGTTTTACACAAAGATAGAAAATATTGATCATCGATTTGTAGATTGAATCTCTTTTTTTATTTTACATTTTTTGCATGTGTACTCGTGTACTCGTCGGCAATTTTCTTTTAACTATTACGTTAGATCAAATTCAAGTCTCAGTATATATCCGCTAATAAAAATATCTTTTATATTTCATTCCTTCCTGAGGTACATCCCGTGTCGCCGTGAAACCTTAAAGTATAAATAAAAGTTTCATAGGCCAAACGGAATGATGCTCCTAAAATGCGAGTATTCGGTTTCAATATTTTCTCGTGTTGCAATGTAAGACATAAAGTCGGTGGATCGTTGGGGAGCCCCTTCGCAAAAAGAACAGAAGCACAGCGTGAATCTCGAGATTTCTTGATTCCAAAACATCCTCATATTTCGGTGTTTCAGACTACTGTCGTATCTATCTCGAAATTGGATTTCAAGTATCTCTGGATATCACGAGACACTTCCGTAACTCCGAAAAATAATTCAATAAACTTTTTAATAATGAAAATATTTTTAAAAATAACATTTTGCGAATCGTTTTTAAACCTGATCGTTATTAAAAGGGTAATAATCCTTCGATAAATAATTTCAATTTGTTTCTTTTCTAAAAAAAAAATTTATTTTAATTAGAAAATGGAAAAACAACGTAAACATAAATTTATCCCGAGCTTATTCAGTCATGGAGTTGGAGAATGTTGCGTTTTTAATAATATGCTTCTCTACAAATAAGGAATATAAATCTCCCAATAATGCCGCGCTCGTGTACTCCAGTTAAAAAACGAAATCTGTTTTTTCCAAGCTCGCGAGTAAACCTGGTGGTAAAAAAAAAAAAGAGGAAGAGAAACTCGTGCGGATGGCAGTTTCTGCAGTATGCGTAATGTATGATACTCGAGAAAATTATGGTACGTTTAATGGATACGACGCGACCTCGTTGTGACGCGGTAACGTCGATGAAAACGGCATGTCTCTCGTACGTATACACCTTTAACGGTGCGAGCTTTCGCTCTCGAGTACCCGCGAGTACCCGCGAGTACTTGCGAGTGTCGCGCGCGCGCGCATGCGCGCGCGCGTGGTTTCATTTTCTCTCAAATGCAAATGATCAGGCATCATTGCGCCGCGCGTTGCGTCGAGTGATCAATATTTACAGAATTATTTGCGCGATAGAACACATAGATAATACTACATAAGCGTACTTTCAGCATATCGAATTGGTTTGCAGAAGCAAGCAGAAGCGGCTCGATAGCGAATGGAAATGCAGTTTTTGTGAAGTGAATCAATTCGTTGAACTGCACTGGATTAAATGCTAATGTACTGCTTAAAAGTGTAACTGAATGGGTGGAAAGAGTGTCTGTGTTTAGATATTGCGTTTGTAATACGACGATAAAGATTATACCGTGTACCACACACACACACACACACACACACACACACACACACACACACACACACACACACACACACACACACAC